GAGTGGTGAGAGGAGCATAAGCAGAAATTCCAATTAATGTTATGGCCACCTAACTCACCACATCCTAATTCGATAGAACAGATTTGGGATGTGATAAAGCGGCAGCTCAGAGCTCAAACACCACCATGTCGAAATACCTTGACTTTGCGTAATCTCTGCTGAGACATTTGGTAAAAACCTGTCTCCAGTCATCTACCAAGAACTTGTGGCATCCACGCTTAGGCGAGCTGCAACTTTTTTGCATGCTTAGGCTGAGCTGCAGCTGTTTAGCTCGCGCCACGTGTTATTGAATAGGTGGGCTTAATGTTTTCGTTCTTCAGTGCATACTGAAAAGATTCAATGAGAAACGTGGACTGGAATATTCTCTCATTATTACCGACAACGATACATTCATAACGTACACATTTTAGCATACGTAGCTTCTGTGATTTAATAATAGAGTGCAATACTTACGATGGATTCGCCTATATGTAATTTTAATAAAATACAGTCAAAGGGAGATAATTTATTTAAAGTTACGGAACTCATAATAATTCAGAATGTAGACCGTTATTATGTTAATGCCATGAGTGCTTGTATTGTATCATTATATTCATATTTGAAATAAATGTGTAATTAATTTTGTCTGCTTTTCCAATCTAGATATGGAAGTGAATAATTTTAACTCTAAAAATTAGCAGGAGATTAAACTTTGTATAGATTAGCTGTTTCTCAGATATAATTTTATTTATTCCCAAATATAAAAGAGCAACATTTGTTTTCAGCTTTATTATTATTTGAAATATGGTGAGCTAAAATATTAAGAAATGTATTTCATTAATATGGAAATAAAGTAAGCTGTCATAATTAGACTGAAATCATTATGTAGGGTTTATATTTATTTTAACTAACATTTATTTTAAGTTTAAACTATCTTTCCTGTCAAGCCTTACTTTCCCCTGGAACTGCCAATAACTGCCAATGCCAGCGTATGTAAATTTTAGTAGAACGCGCAAGGATTCAAATTATCAGCGGAAGTATTCTGAGTTAAATAGAATGGAAACGAGTTCGAGGTGTGCTGTTCTTACTTCTCGAGCGCGGAGGTAGTAGCCAGAAATTGAAGAACCCCGCGTTTCGGCCTGTGTGCTTGCCTCGGAGAATTGTTAATCGTTCAACGGGATATTCAAAGTTTGCTGAATTAGCAGCGGTATTGTAAAACGCGGTGAGGTTAGTTACGTTTAGAGAGCCTCGTAGTTAGAGTCTTGTTATTATTTCTTTTCAGGTTCTTATTTTTATTTTACCGCCGGGTCGGTGTAGTTTGTGAGCGTCAAGAGAACGCAATTGTAATTTCTTAAGTTGAATAAAAAGGGACTTAAACCCTTAGCAAGACTCTGTCTAGATTCCAGTTTCAACAGTCACCTCTTGGTTGCGTGCAGGTTGGAGGTGCGCAACTCTACAATTATATAAACATAAGAAACTCTCTGTTTCCTTAGGAGTAGCACTCAATTGCCAGGGATATTATAATCACATGTGTTCAGTACGTAAACACACTACACGCTAGTGCATATTTTAATTGATTGTCTGTCTTCATTTCTTGAAAATTCAGAAATAGCATGTTAAATAAATTATTCAAAAATAATTCAACAAATATATCTATAAACTTGATAATTTCATGCGATTATTTCTATGATGTCTAATAGATAATTTAAGTGATAGAAAATACAGAGAAAAGCTCTATAGACAAAGTGTCCGGTGTCAAACAGAATGGTAAAATCATACTCTTAAAAAAGGGCAGTTTTTGTGATATTACTTCATAAATTAATCTCATGTGGGGATTTAACAAAGACAAAAATCAATTTTTCAAAACACAGCTATGCATACTTCAGAGAAATGCTCATGCACGTGGTTTGCAATAACCATCTCTCTGAAAACAGTATTATTTTCTGTTTCCTCATCTGGTAAATTTATGAATTGAAAAGAATAAAACGTCGAAGAGAAATTCTGTGCAGGATATCTATACATAAACTATCCTTTTCAGAATAAAAGAACAAAGACAATAGTCTATCTTGCTAATAATCCTCTTACTAACTGCAATGCTTTCCAATACATCTGCCATGGCACAATGATGAGCAGTCAAAGGACTGGAAATGTGCTGCGAAACATATAACCTCAGTCTTTTAATTATAAGGCCATGGCTGCAAAAATCATTACCGGGGCTGTATCTTCTACCAAAAATTTAAAAGTAGTTCTGGAATGCGGCCTGAAAAGCCTCTGAAAACGAAGACAGTATAATGTAATAAAATTTACAAACAAGGCAAAAAGCCGAGTACCAGAACACATCTCCAGGAAACATTTGGCAACTAGTATAAAGGCAACATAATACACCCTTAAAAAAAAACCGACGCTTCACGACGCACCGAGAAGATATAAAGCAAATTGAACACAAATTCATATGCATACAGGTTCTGTGTTTGGGGTGGCATCTCTTTGGGTGGACGCACAGACCTTCATGCCTTTCCAATGGAAATCGAGAATGCTCCGGTTTATAAAAATGACATCCTTGATGCTTACGTGCGCCCATAAGCCGGGGCAATAGGTGATGCTTTCCTGTTACCGGACGACAACGCAAGACCACACAAGGGCTCGCATCGTAGATGATTATCTTCAACAGGAAACAATTATGCGCATGGAGTGCCCAGCTCGATCCCCGGACTTGAATCCTATCGAGCACGTTTGGGATGCTTTAGGCAGACGTCTAGCTGCTCTCAATACGCCCCCTCAGACCCTTGTCTCGCTTGCAACTGCTTTGCAAGAGAAATGGCTCTCGCTTCCTATGGAACTGATATATCGCATAATTGAAAACACACATCGCTGTACGTGCTGTATTGCTTCTAGAGGCGATCATATTCCATATTGAAGGTACTTTTCCTATAACAAACTGACACCTTCGATTTGTTCATTTTATACATGTGCTAATTACTATACTACCATATTTGTCTGCTAATTTCTTTTTATGTTATTTGATACCTTTTTATGTGTTTTATATTGTGGGTAAGTTTCATTAAATTCTAAGTGTAACGTTTCCAGTAATCGTGATTTTTGTGATTTTTCCTTAATTTATCATAACCAGTGTAGTATCGTGAGCACCAGTATAGTGCTCAAGGCTCTTGACAACGACAGACGCAAGTCTTGCAATCCTTGCCACAAGGAAATTTGTGAGCTTGTTCTAATGGTACTGTCATAGAATTGAGATAAGTCACAGTGATTTCTTAAATATATCTGTAACTTAGACTTAAAAAAGATGCATTTTTTAAAAGAATTGGGAACCAGACCAATGATCTGCCAGAATTATGCTACGAGACCAAACAACAATGCATCTGCAATCGGTCCAACAAGGAAACGTCCATCGGTGGCAAAGTGTAGAAGACCTCTGAACACTAATTGGATTCGGGTTGGAAGCTAGGGAATGGTTGGCTGTATAAGCATTTTCTTGGTTGTTGTATATCAGTAGTGAGGAAGGGCTTCTAGATATATTTAACGTGGACTTGATGTGAGCATTTTCATATAGCTTACTTACGAAGACCAGCGGCCTAGCAGTAAAGACCCTGAACACTGGTAGTTCTGCATGGGGCGTATTCGTGGTTTTCCCTATGTGTAACATGTATACGAGCCAATTTCCCTTAGAAAGTCCTTCACGAAGGAATCCCTCCCTTTAGGCAGATAGACCTCCTGTGCTTTGTCATAACTGAATAAACAAACAATCTATATACTCGACTCTTTGTCACGTGAGAGAGAGGCGAAAACGCGCGCCGTTCGGCTAAAGTGCGCAAGCGTAGTGTTAATCAAATTATCACATCTTTGATATATGAAGTGAGGTAATTTCATTTAAAAGGTTTATCAGTGCATCTCTTCCTAGTCAAATATATGTGATCATTGTCTTAATTAAAATCAACGAGCTATATAACCACTCATCAGTGAGAAGGGAGAGACATACAGCCAGTGCAGAAACAAAGCCAAGACCCCTCGATAAGCATGATGACGGTGAAGCAGTTAGAAAACAAATCTAAATAATCCGCCCAACGATCGACTTTCACATGTGCAGTTCATTAACTATCACATACGCAAAATCTTCTAATCAGTATGTCGCGGGGAAATATATTTTCATTCTCCAAACTACTTAAAACTGTGTGTGAAATACACGAAAGTATTCTAATAGACCAGGGACACCTAATGAGGTTGGTGAAAGCTTTAGTAAAGCTGATGAAGATTTCATGTGTTCCATAAATGCCGTGTGTCAATGAATTTCACTAACCAAGGGAAGTTTAAGAAAATAAAATAATACGAAAACTTATTTGTGTTTAATTTCATTTAACGTATTTTTCTTTCGTAACTTAAAAAATCGATTTTGTTCTAAGAAATCGTCAGTATAAAACCCATGCTAGCTTCTCTTCCTCATTCTGTTTATTACTAGCATCTCAAATAAAAGATGGTGCCTGGACTGACCGAAATTTGATGACTTAACTATTATGAACCTGATTCTTTTAAGTTTTAAGAAGGGGTCGATGTGACAAAAAATATTTTTTAAGGAATTTAGACTCTAGCAAAGTTTGAAAAAACTTGTAATAGACCATAACGAAATCCATTATAAGCAATAATATTTACCCTAAAATGTAAAACTTTCAGAAAGAAAAGTGGTCTCCATAACTTCCAGAAAGAAAGGTTTTCTGCATATTCAGCTTCTCTCTGGGGGAAAAAACCCCTCTCATACGTATTACAGAAATTCGAATCCCGCGAACGGGCTGGTTGCATGGACGCTTTCGTGGTTTTCCCTATGTGTAGCGTGTATACGAGCCAGTTTCCCTTAGAAAGTCCTCCACGAAGGCATCACTCCTCTTAGGCAGATAGCCCTATTGTGCTTTGCCGTAATTAAATAAGCCAAACCAAACCATATGTATTACTATTGAGTTCACTTAAATGAAATTTGATGGAATAAATACTAAGCCCTAACTTTAATATTTTAGGTTACGGAGCAGTTGAAATACGCCGTCTTTCCGTTCCACGCTGGGTACAGAATGGCACAGAAGATTTTGTAATACTTGACTGCGAATACAGTTACACCGAGAACGACTTCCGCCTCGTTGTAAAGTGGTTCTTTGAAGACAATTTGGAGCCAGTTTACCAATGGATACCAGAGCTTGATAGACGACATACATCTGGTGTTCTCCATAACCGTCTGGATCTGGATTTTGCTGTCAATACCGTGGATGCCTACTCCAAATTCAGGGCTCTTAGGATTCCGAAACCTTCCACAGAACTCAGCGGCAAATATACGTGCGTGGTAGCATCACTCGCCAACCAAGATTCACGAGAGCAAGTGATGACAGTTTTTGGTAAGTTCTAAGCTTCAGTATTTCAAGTGCACATTTTTATTTTACTGAATTTTAATGTCAATAATACGCACTTGCGTTTAAATTGGAATAGCTCTGTTAGTAATGTTACCTAATTTTTGACTTTTCAAAAAAGATTTATGAGACGCGAATGCCATATTAGGATGCTGCCAAAAGCAATGTGAAGTAAGATTTAAAATTAAAAAATCTGATGTGTACACCACATGACTTCCTTGTATGGAATATTAAATTATATCCACTTTTTCTTGCATTTCATTTAAACTTATTGGATTGAATTAAATCTACTTCGCCGACAGCGCATTAACCACAATAGAATAAATGCAGTCTTTAAAATTCACCCTATTTGTTTACCATAGCGACACTCTAGCGTTAGGTTCGCTTAACAGTATTATATTTCGTTCATATTATAACTCAGAATGCACAAAATTTATATCATTTAAAGAATTATCTAATCGTTGCCACAGGTTCTATTCAAATACTATAATAAAGCTAGAAAGATGTATAAAAGAAATTAAGCAAACAAAACAAAAAAGAAACAGTATTTCACAAACGATTGAGTATTTCTCATTCAATTAATTCAGTTCTCACTTCGCGGCGAGACAAAAATACATAATTACGAAGTAAATCTTAAACACTTATTTCCTTGAAAAAATTCCAGACAAAATTGAGCATGATTTAATTCGCAATAATAAATGAAGGCGTTTTATCTTTGTTTCTGCGAAGCTAAGTTTCTCTAGATTGGTAACAAATCCACTAGTTTGCTGTTTCAAATGTAAACAATCAATGGCCGCCATAAAAAAAGGCTTAGCTGCACTTAAACAACTTTAAAATTGTTGATAATTCTAAAAATATTGCATACAGATTTACTAAAAACATAAAAACCTTAACCGGAAGGTAAAAACAACATAATTCAATCATTTTTAAAGCAAAAAATGTACAATTTACAAACATATAAGAGCAAAGAAACTGAAATCACTGAGCCTGGACAGAGTGGATATATATATAAATATATTTATATACGTTTGGTCCTGCCGATTGCAACCAAAATACGAGGTGCACATCTACATGTTATAGCAGTTCTATATACAAAATTTCGAGGTTCTGAGGGTACTCGGTTTTCAGTTATGCGAGATACGTACGTATGTTCGTACAGACGCCACGGAAAATTCTCCTCAGAATTCATTTTAAAGCAGTTTTATAATTTTTTTGGAGGAAAAGAGTCTTTTATTCTGTCCTTACGTACAGATATTTTGCAAAAATATCGTTAAATTGCATTCGCTAGCCGTCAAAATGGATATTTTCGTTGAAATATGCTGTCTGAAACTTTTAGCGATTACAATACTTTCTTTTTACTTCGTACAAGGAAGTATAAAAAAGAAAATCCGATTTTTGTCTAGAATACACATAGTACTACCATTTAAAAGATTTTTAATTTAAAATATTTATTCTCGTACAAACGAAAGTCTTCTTTCCTATTCTGAATAATAAAAAGATATCACACCCGACATCAGATTCTACATTCAAATCTGTTCTGTTAAATTGCAAAGAATACTCAACTGACCGTGTCCTGTATATAGAATATGATCGATGAGTCATCATACACGTTTTGTAACATTCTCTATAGAGTGTTACAAAACGTTTATGACGCTCTATTAGTCTCTAGTCTTTTTGTCCATATTAGTCTATATTAGTGTATTATACGTATTTTAGTGCATATGAGTCTTCAGTCATTAGTCTTTTTTGAAGCAGGAGACGTGAAAAATGTGCACTACCCTCACTGGAACTACCCCTACAGCTCTCGAATACACGACGAGTGTGCGTTCAATTAAACCACGAAAGCATGTGGTGAGGAGGGAGAAAATACCTTACATACTTCCCCTCTTTGGAGGGCGACTGAGGAAGAGGGGACACCACCTCCATATGCTGGTGGTAACGAATTATCCTCCACCATCTTTAAGTTCGCGCACCACTGTAGATTCATTAGGATTTGTTATGCTGGAGAGGTGAAAAATGTGCCCTGCCCTAGGCGTGACTTGAATCTTGTATCTTTCGAATGCGCGTCGAGTTTTTTTCCAATTACACCACGAAGGTATGTAGGAAGGATAAACCAATGATTTAAGCCGCGAAGACGCGCGCTACTTTTAGCTACGCGAGAACGCGCGTCGGGCTCCGTAAGCCCGAAGCTTTATTTCTTAACAAAACAAAAATAAAATTGCTTGTATAATTGAAGAAAAACATTTAAATAATACAAACAAAGTGTATAAAATGTAAAAAATATTCTTTTAATTTAATAAGTCTAATAAAATTGTATTTTAAACAATTTTAAACTGAAATTATTTATCATTAACAACAAAAAATTAAACTGATCATTAACAACAAAAATTAAACTGATCATTAACAACAAAAATTAAACTGATCATTAACAAAAAAATTAAACGAGCGCAAATGAAATTTAGTACTAATTTATGCAATATTAAAATTTTACAGCAATAATTTCAAAATAAAACTTACATTTCATATTTTTGTTTTGCAAATAATCGTGCTGCGTTTACCACAAATATTTTTCTCGCACATAGCGCAGCAAATTTGTGATTTTCCAGTCCGTTACGCAAAGACTGTAAATTTTTTATCAATTTTCAACAAACTTTTTGAAGGCATATATTATCGGACCCATTTTATTGATTTCTCTTCTAGAAGGGCAGTCTCTTATGCCATCAAACAAACATCTCATTAGAAATAAAAAACGTTTGTTAGACATTGTTAGATGAAAAAAGCACTGTTCCGTCAGTCACCCAAAGGTAGAGAACATTTACGTGAGAAGCCTTGTGGAGTCCTCCAAAATAAAGAAGACAGATAAATGCTCTGATTTCTGTAATATTTGTGGATCGAGCATCTCTCTACCTTCCAAATTTGATGGCAATGGATTCGATATAAATGTTCGCACAATCTACTAGAATTTTTACTCTTATGTTATCCATAAGCAGTTGCCAAGAATTCATAGGGGAGGACACAAATTTTGCTTCACAAACATTTCCGAGCAATTTTATCACAATGTTGTGTGCAAGAGTTCTTACACCAAGTCTTGGCTCTTTTTTATTCCATTTTCTCATATTATATTTGCCATGATAACAATTCGCTGACGGACACAAAATTACTTAATTCATTACTATATTCATCGCTTGATTCTAATGCTCAGAATTCCTCTTCAGAATTCGATTGGGGATCACTAAACTGTTTTTCACCCACTATTTCTTCGTCCTCTTCATTAACTGTATCTTTATCATTCGAACCTTCGGCTAATAAGTTTCTGTAGTCTTTTCATTTCATCGTCATAACTCAAACAGCAAGACATTTTTGCAATTGCCTGATCTCTTTCACAATTTTAAATGACAATGCGATCGCGCGCCTCGGGCCTAGGAAGCCCGGTTACTGAGTTTCTGAGATAAGATGAAGGGTTAAATTCCGGAAAGGCTTGTGAATGACAAGTACATGACCTTAAACGTAGCTACTGAGAATGTCGAAAAATTTCACCAAAGGGAGAAATTTTTGTATTACGTTTTTGTAACGACCGGGCTTCGCAGGCCCGACGCGCGTTTTCGCGGGTTAAGATCGAAAAACCTTTTGAAAATTGTTTTAAATTGCTGTTCTACAATTTGTGGCAAGCACACGTTTCCATCTTATGAACTTTTACTAAAATTTATAAATAACGATAGATCGTTAAGTGGGTTGACTGGAGTTCCTCAGCTTTGTTTTCTAGTGATAAATGTAGATATGCTGTAACAGCACGAAAGAAGAAAACAGCATTATTTATGGGTTGATTCAAAACTGATAATGATTTATGGATATGTCCAGCTCCATAAATCATTCTGTTATGAGATATCTAAGAGGAATGACTATCATTACCAATTCTGAGGTGATGTAGGTATACGGAAATTGTTTTAAGCACGAATTTATTTTTATACGCAATATCACGCTTTTATTAGCCTTTCCATTGTTTTCTGCACATACTACCTCGCATAAATACATGAGTTTGAAAGTGGTTTTTCAACAAAATGCAACAAATAAGCTAGATGATTTTAATAATCATGTTATATCTTCTCGTTAAAATATAGGAACCTTTAATTCATATACGGTCCTTTAATATGCAGCACAGTTTCATTGTGACTTTTGTTTTCATAAATAAATTAGCAATGCAAAAAGTACGCATTGTCATACTATAAGGTATTTCTTCCGCCTTCTTAGCGTGCCATCGTGGTGTAGTGGTCTGCCTGTTGGACTTTTATAAAGCGAATTGTCCAAACGTCGATCTATAACACTCCTTGGACTTTCGAAAGTTTTTCAAGAGAAATGGGATAAAATACTTCTTTTAATACTAAAAAATGCTTTATTGTCTTGGAAATTACAGTGTCGAAAGGTAGTGCAGAATAAAGTTTATCAAATGGAGCATTTAAAATATAAAAAGTTCAGGTAAATATTTCTATAAATATAATGAAAATCGTCTAAAAATGTGCCAACAGCCTCTCTATAAGAAATAAAAATTTATGTATAAAAACATATGGTGATAAATTTAACCACATACAAAATAAATCTGAAAACTAATAGCATAAAAGCAACAAATAAACGTATAACTAAGTAAACCAATACACAACATCCTCAGAATGCAATAAAAAGGATTTATATATTTAACAGATATTCACAAGATTATAAAACTGACATAATTATTTCATCATTGAATTAAAGAACTGGTGATTTTCACTTTAATGTTTAAATCATATGCATCATACTATATCTTAATAAACAGAGCTTGAGGTGTTTATGGACAGTAATCATAATAAGGTATTCGTAATTCTTGTCTGTCTCGGCGGCTGTATACCTTAGAAACCGAGAATTTTGGTCACAAGAACTCCTTTTTTTGATCTTACGCTCGATGAAAGTATTATTTCTTATGTTTCCAAAACGTTTTGGCTTCTTTTCTTACTTTA